TTTAAGTGTCTTCCTAACTCTGTTGATTTTTTGCACAAGAAAAAGAAAACGCAGACATTAACATTGGAGAAATTTAATCTTTTTATCCTCATCTGTTATCTGTTAAGTTTTTTTTTTTTTTTGTAAATAGACATAAAATTTGTATTTAAGCTCTATTGGAAGATGAGCAGCAGACAACTTTAGATAAAAATCCCATCTGGCATGTGTGGCTTTTTTTTTTTTTCTTCTTCTTCCCTTTTTTTCCCTCTTTTAAACCACCTGTTAAATTCTACCAGACATAACTTGGAAATATTCTGAGCTTTTATTCTTACAGTGCTCAAATAAAGACATTTTATTTTGCAAGAGACAAACTATGGAAATGCAGAGGAAATCATTTTGGGAAAAGACGCTGAACTTAAGCTCCTAGGAGAGATGTGAAAGATCTGTAGACAGTTTAGCATAGACAGAAAAATTCTTAAAGCAGTAGAAAAAGTGCCTTGGTCACAATAGTAAGAGGAAACAGATGCAGCAAGATGACACACAACAGGAGACAAGGCAGGAAACAAGAAGAAAGAAGATAAAGATGTGGGCAGAGCACAGAAAGTGAGGACATGCATCTCTGTCCCGTGAAAAGAGAAAGAACGACTCAAGGGAGACAGGCTGGAACATATTTATGGCTACAGGAGGCATTTGCTATCTTTTTAAACTCATTCAGCCTACGTTGTATAGTATGGATGGTAAACAACACTCGAACACCAGCTTTTAATCTTCAGTGGAAGGGTATCCAAACAGCAGTGCGAGCGATGAGGCCCTGAAAGCAGAAGCAAGGTTTTCTTTACCTTGTTCCCTTTCCTCTCCTCACACATGATATGGCTGAGYTTATAAATTTGTTTTTAAAGATTTGAAGGAAACACTGTCTGGACTGTCAGGAATTCACCTTTAGATATTTGGAAGTTGCCTTTTATCCAAGAGGTAACTGAGTAGGCAATTCTCCAGAACTGTATAATTTAGACCTCACTCAGCTATTTCCCTCTAGAAATAGCAGCACAAGACCTAGAAATCTATCTTCAGAGGCCTGCATTTTTTTTCCTATAAGAATCTGTTTGGTCAAAGAGATGCAGTGTAAAACAAACAGTTAATCATCCCTGCAATATTTGCAAAAGAGACTTTTAAAGGGTCATCTAGAAACCGCATGCCACAAAAACAGCTAAAAGCTACTCCCTCTAGGCAGGAGCTCCAAATCAACCGGGTCCTGGGGAGTTCTGAACAGATTCTGTTTCTTGTCAAACCAAACACACCACAAGCCAATTACACTTCTGCAACTACATGGCAATTCTCTGTGTATTTGACCCAAGGGAGCCTGAAGAACAAGCTACACAATTCAAGCACAATTGCACATATGAACCTTGTATTACCCCACACGAGAGYTACAGCGAATCAAAATGCCTTTGGTCACGTTTGGTAAATGTAGCATACATTGCACTTGTRTATAAATTTCAAAATAAGAATCGGGCATAAAGCTGATTTTTGGCATAACAGGTGTAGTATGTAACCTATCTTGAAGGAACAAAATTCACACTATTAAATAATTCTTAAATTTCTGATACTTCTTAAAAAGGCAGTCAGACATCTTTAAAAAAAGATTTTTCAAAAGTATATTAGAATTTGTTTTTCTTTTTTTCTTCTCCTGAGATTTGAAGAGACCTTTGGGACTAAACTGAAAGCAACAAGTTTCAAGTTTCATTGTGCTTTGCAGCCATTTGAGTAGCCTTGCAAGCTGTTTTAAAAAGGAGACCATCAGGCTCAAACTGTTTCTACTAACAAATCCAGATACAAAACTGAACCAGCTAACAATATACTACTGTAAAAAAAGAAGTCAATATTTGATCACTTTTTGTTTTATCCAAATTAAACTTTGCTTAGCGTGTTACCCGCAGAGAATTCACATGCAGCACCAGATTGCTCCAACTTTCCATTTGAGAGYGGACCCAAACCTATCCCATCACTCACCAAGGGAGAAGAAAAACCTCTAATCCAAAATAGACTCTCCAAACAAACAAAATCCAGGACAGAAATGTACATCTACTTTGCACAACTTTAAATGACTTTTAGAGTATTCTGAGGAAAAATCAACTTCTCTTAAATAAGATCTAAAGTTCATTCTGACTAGACAAATCTTAAACCTTTAAATATCTACTCCAACCTCCATCTCAAATGTTTTGTTTTGAAGTGACTCTGATCTGCACACATTTGATCTGAAGATGGATGTATGTCAGGTAAGAATAGAAAAGAGTTTCTATTCTTCACCAAACAACAGGCTGGCAGGTCTGTYCCAATGGAGCATTCAGGAAAACGGCTGCATTATCCTAAGGGAGAGGCAGGGAAGCCAAAACAACATCAATACTACAGTGCTTGCCCTTCATTCATCAGGCATTTAGACAGTATAAAGCCATTTTTGTGCCCCAATAGAACACGGTGAGTGTGGATCTCCTAAATGTAAATGCAGAAGTCCCCAAACTGTAAGTGCTCATAAGGCACTATACAAAAGTATATTTGGCAGAAAAACCACAATTCAATTTGCTTTGGAAAAGCAACAAGCAACTTGTGAGGACTTTCTGAATTCAAAGGCCAATCCTGAATCTCAGAGTAAAGTCAATTAAAAAAAAAAAAAAAAAAAAAAAAAATGCCTGGACAATTTTTTGGACAGCAACTACCAAGAAAGTAGGGAATGAAACCAATCAATAGATGCAGTTCAGTAAAATCCTGTGGCAACAGGCTTTGAAACTTCGGCCAGGGTCCAGAGTGTTCACTGTGTGAGGAGAAGCAGCAAGCGAGGTCTTCATAAGGTGAAGAGCACGACTTCCTGGGGAACAGGGGTTGTGCAATTTATTAACATTCCCAAACATAGCAGGATTAAAGGAATCTAGATTAAAAAAAAATGCTTTGTTTTTATAGAGCTCAGTAGATAAAAATCAGTGCAGCAAAAAAAGAAAAAGAATTCAAATATGCATTTTTTTAGTTTGTATGGATCCATACTTAAAATATATTTCCTCTTTTTTTTCAGACAGAAGAACCTTGCTTTTCAAGCCAAAGTACAGGGATAGTTAAGGAAACCAGTAACAGAAGAGTCCCTTTTGTCCTTCAATTGAACAACTAAAAATGCTTGAACTCTGAAATTACAAGGAGGCATTTGCTTTCTACTGTGATGAGAACATGTTTGCTAAAGATTTCACAAACACATTGAGAAGGAATTAATCACATCTACACTGGAAAGAAAGTCAAAGTTTGTCTTTTAAGGGCAGGATTTCCTGTCTTTCCGTGTCCTACACATCAGGATAGGAAGCTAAAGTTGGAGCAAAAAAATAATAAAAAAAAATACAAAAAGAAAGCAACAAAAAAACAGAAAACACTAAATTTGGTCTAAGGAATGTCTTCATTTGCAAAGGACTTTTATGTCTTCCCCTTTTCAGGTAAACCAAAACAGAGCCTCCCCAAAAGTCACATARCAATGAGACAGCCCAGAATTAAAAAGCACTAAAGAAGATAGAAAAGCAAACAGGCAAACAAACAAACAAAAAAACCAAACCCCACGCACACCCTAACTTTGAAATCAGAAAATACAGAACTGAAGTCTGTAGCAGGTGACTTGGCGTCAGCTAGTGGTATTGCTCCAAGTATGATTAAGCCATGAGGAGACTGACTAATGAACAGTCCTGTAAGCAACATAAAGAAAATTTAGTGTGGCAATGAACAAAATGATAACTGAATGCCTTTTAAATATTCACAGGAATTTCTGTCATTGCTTTATTTCTCAGATCTCTCAAGAAAGGACRGTTACTTTCCCTTGGACCTCTATATTCCACTTCAAATACGTTAGCAGACGTAACTTTGGGAGACGACCATTTCAAATATTTCCAAGGTCTTAATGACAGAGCACATCTTTCTTTTCAAAAATGCAGTATATATAAAAAAATTTGCTTTCCTGCAAATGACAACAGTGTATATCCCTCATCTGTAAAGGTAAAGCTACTGAGAGCTGCAAGCCTTGGGAGACGATATACCTCTTATGCCAAATCCCGCCAAAGACTTTCCCTCTTTTGTCCACAGCCTAAAGCATGCCTGAAACATTTTTGCCATAGCAGAGTTATTCACAAGCAGAGCACCAACACTGCCATTTGAGCATGACAGCGTTACTTAGCACAGCAGTCACAGACCAACAGTTCTCAGAACAGAATTGAAACTCTTAAGCTGCACAGTTACATGAAACAGTCTAATCCCTTCCTTTGGGGCTTCTCTGACACAGAAAATGAATCCAAATTGCTAAACTGGGGGAGTAAGTTGATCACAAAAGAGCTTTTCACTAGGTTAGTAAAGTGACTTTTTTTACCATGCAGTCAAACTACCACAAGAGCCACACACAACCAACGCAGCAGAGTGACTCGGCTGAAAACTGGATAAAGGCACGAGGGCAACATCGAGGCCTCAGGAGGCCTGCCACGCCGTGACACTGCTCCCTTGCTGGACTTCAGCTACTAACAAAACTGCACCACGAGATACTCATGTTTGGCTCCAAGCATTTTCAYCCTACACCACACTTCCATTACACTGCACATGATTTGATCTGTCTCGGCATGTAGGAAGTTGTTCCACTAACACTCACCTTACATGTTTCACGCACTATAAAGTACCTGAGATTTGTTGTGTTCAAGAAACTACTGCGAAGGCAAACATTTTGGCTTCCTAGTTAGGGCTTTCTTTTCCCCCCCTAAAATTATGACATCTCAAATGGAACGAAGGAAGCCTGTTTACCCAGTACTCACAATCCAGAGTTGTTAGCACTTCCAACCCTCTTTAGCAGCACAAAGGCAGGAAACTGCCAAGAGCTCAAAGTTCAGGGAGCACTACTCACTGCAGGGGAAAACCTTCACTGAGTCTCATCACCGAGACTGAACTCTTCCCTAGGCTTTTGAAAGGAGGTTTCAATAAACAATTGGAAAACATGAACTGCAATTGGTTCATACCTGCAGCTATGCACCTCCCTCTTGCAGTTCCAGTCTTCACTCTGAAAGACAAGGAAAAATAGACATTGAGGACTGCAGAGTTGCAATCAGGTAATAGGAGCTTCATTTTACAAAGGGCACAGAACTGGCTAAGTAAACTRCATCTCCAGTAACAAAAAATCATTATGAGGTGATAATATTCCTCACTAGACTAGAAAACAGAGGCTTGTACCTCATAAGAAGGGACATGTCCAGTGATAGAGGGTTTTTCTTTTGCAGGAAGTATCAGAAGTTGACCCACAAGGCAAGGCTGGCTTTGTACCTAAACACAAATTTTGAGGGAGTTTTGGAAAGGATTTCTTCTCTAAATCACACACAGTTGTCCAGAACTATCCTTGAGCTGTCTAGCAGTATTACAGAGAAAGCCCTAATCCATTTACCTCATTCTAAGTAACCGGTCACCTATRGGAGCACCGCATTCATCTGCACAAGCAGAGTTTTGCCAGGCTGCTGGACATCCCAGTCTCCGGAGCTTCGCAGGCCCCTTCGCAGCCTTTGCTCTGCACTCCCAGGGCGGCCAGGATCAGCCATCCCTCTCCTCTCCCATCCCAGCAGCTCCACAAGCAAACTACACATTTATCACATGCACTCACAATCTCTTTTCCAAAGGGAGGTGTCTTGAGATTTTTTAATCATTATTTTACAGYCATTTTCAGTTGTAATTTGTTCCAAATTTGTTCAATTGTCCTAATAAAGTATTATACCCTTCAAATTGAGCTCAGCAGCTTCAACAAATTAGAACAAATGAATTCTCATAACATTAGTTAGAAAAGGAAAAATTCACCCAAGAATCTCATAGTTACCTGAAATGAGTATTTAGAAATAAATGAATTCACATTTTAAAAAAGTATTACAGAAAACTGATTATTGTTCAGAAAACACTTTATATACTTCTTGTTTACTTTGTTTTAAAGTAGCACTTCTGGTTACGAAGATCCTGCTAGTGATTCAGGCAAATATTCTACCTTGAGGACACCTTCTTCCACCTCACCCACATTCCTTTGCTTTTTTGAAGTTTAATTAAAGAGTATTTGATTATGGTGAAGAAGTGGTCTCAAAAGCCTGCTAGGAGCCCCAGCTTCAAACCATCAAGTAATAAACATATTTATTTTTCCTTTTCCCTGTAAACCCAAACTTTGTCAGGTATTTATAAGCCTTATGGAGCTGCTACAAAATGCAGAGGTATATTTTCATGATATTCAACTTCCAGTAAAACATGAACTACAAAACCACATTGGTCTTACAGTCAAGAATATACCAGTAAACCACACTGGGAATTAATTTAAAAACTTCAAAGATGACTAAAGTACAGTTACCATAGCCAGAGGAACCTATAATTCTTGGATACCACAGAGGAAAAAAAAATATACACCTCTCTGAATCAAAGGCCAAATCTAACTCAATAAAAGCTCTAAAAGAGCAGGCTGCAAATCACACAACCACCTRAAGGGAGCCAGCGAGAAGGCTGTTAAATCATAAATGTTAAACCAAACAATACTGTTTCAAGAGATCGCATCCAGAATATAAATACACTGAATACTTTAGGCAAGTTTCTACATCAGATGGACTTGGCCCAAAGGCCAAAGAATCTGACAGCTCAGGACTTGGATGCTTCAGCTCAAGGGATATATGGCTGGAATGCTGCTAGCAACACGTAGTAGAGCAGTTCTGCAGTAACAGACGTGGCAGGAGGTCTCGTGCAAGAGCCGGTATGGCTGCACGGGTGTGCATTCCTCCTGAAGACAGCCAAGCACAAACTGTGACACCTCCTTGCAGCTTCTGCAGGGGACGTTTCTCCTGCCCCGACTGAAACGCAGCCTCTCAGTAGAGATGCCCTTTCCAACTTCTTCTGCATGGAGCGGGGTGGAGTTTGGACACCACCTGACAATCCCATGCAGAAAAACAAGGGCTTAGCACTTAGCCTCACCAGAGTTAAGACTGACAAAATCCACTGCYGCTGCTGAATGAACAGCTGTAACTTCTGCCATCCAATACAGTACAAATAGGACTGTGGCTGGTAACGACAACAAGCAGCTCTGGCCAGTAAATACCAGACAACAGAGATAAGCCAAATCTAGTGATACTATTACTCTTTTAGTGGCAAAAGTTCAGTCTCTCCCAAGAACTCCCTCCAGGGAGCATCTGCAAGATGTTCCTGACTCATTTAATGGATTCTGATCAATGAAATTACTATGGCAGTCAGCACTTGTCTAGACGAGTTAGCTCTGATTTCCGACTGCACTTTCCAGGAATTAACGTTTGTGGGCTGCCAGGCTTACCTTCTACAATTAAACAAGCTGACAACAGACCCCAATCCTCTAGTTCAGATATATATCCTGGAGGCAACAGTTTCTGCAATGAATCAGTGCAAGTCTGGACTCGCTGCAGATTTACACACCTATACATACTGATTCAATATGGCCAGAGCTAAAAACAGGGAAACAAAAACACTCATTCCTCTGGAGCAAGTGAAAGAGCCAAAGAGCGAAGGAACAAGCGCACTGCACAAACCAGGCTCTGAACAGGAAGCTCCTACAGAACAGGGGAAGTCTCAGTTACTGCACACCTCAGGCCACAACCCACGCCAAGTGCACCACTTGCTAGTAAATATTATGAGAAAACAAGGCAACGGAGACGGCAACGAGAAAGCTGGCAGGGACTCGAGGCTCCCAAAATGCCGAAGAGCTGCAGTTCTACTTGCTTATCTGAGCGTTTCCCATCTGTCACTGCAATCTTTATACCACCCAAACCTCTCAGCACTGGCAGTAACTTGCTCAGTTCAGGGCAACTGTGCCTCTTCTCTGCACCTGCTCGCTTTATTTTTGAAAACGGAACTGTCAAATACAGTTTTCTTCAGTGTCCTAGGCACAAGCACCAATGCACATACAGGTTAACAGACAACATGAAGAGCTAGTAAATGAACCAGCYGAGTTACCCACCAGACAGTTTTATTCCACTCTGGCTTACAAATACACTGGAAAAAAATGCAACAAAGAATAAAGTAAGTGCACATTTTGGGACTAATGTAGACTAAAATAAAAGGGAAGGCTGAGAGCATTTTAATCTTCATGCTTCAGGGAACCAGAAAATCACAGACTGTGATGCAGTCTGTATCTGCAATGTCTGTTCCACTCCCAGTCAATAATTACAGCCTTAACAGTTCAAAGATTAAGCATTAGCTTCATAACCCATAAGGAAAGTGTGAAGAGACACAGTTTGAGAGTGCAAACCAATGCAGTAGTCTACTGCTAAGAACATGAGATTGGGCCTTAGAGGACCCCAGATCTATTACTAACCGGGACTGAACAGTATTAGATGAATCACTTCACAATCCTAAGTATTTTCATTTGCAGGGCATTAACATCATCTGATTTGTTTTCATTGTAACATATATATAAGAATTACTGGTAGAACGTATTTAATGGGAGCCAAAGATTACCCTATTGTCACAACTGCATCTCAGCACCAAATGCTGCAGACAACTTCATCAGAAAAAAAAAAAAAAAAAAGCTTCTGCAAAATATTAATCTGTTAATAAAAGCAAAGTACCTCACCAATACGAGAGAGAAAACTGCTACATGCTTCCAGTTTATTGCATTACGGGACACAAAACATCTGAAGAGTCACAGATGCAGAATGTACACACCTATGCAACATGCCATTTACTCTTTGAAGGAGGATCCTACAGCCTCAGAACTCGCCCATTCATGCTTTTCTCTTTACACACACCCCAGAGGAAAACATATTATCTCTAGCACAGAGTTTAATAGTTTCTTCTGGGTAAAGTTACATTGAGCAGTACTGAACAGAGGCAAGAGTTCTGCATTTAAATGCTGAGGCTACTTCCCAAGGCAGCAACAGCAGCGCAAGGGGTTTTTATAACCTCATCCACCTCAGCTGAAAGATTCAAATATACTTCCACTTACCTATCATTAAACTCAATGGCAAAATCTGCAAGAGACCATCCCTATGCACTGCTCAAATGCACAACGTGCATAACTCCGCATTGAAGTAAGTCTTTTCTAATATACATACACACCTCTTTCTTTTGATTGCACAGAGGAGAATACTATCAAGCCCAAAGAGAGAAGAAAGTTATGTCAGATCTCCCCACATCACGATCCTCAAACCAAGGCCCCTGTCACTCTGTACTGCTATGCACGATATAGTAAAGGGGGATTATAGTGGATTGGACCATTTTCAGCAACAACTGCCAGCTTCGGAGGGAAAATAATTTTCAAGGGTCCTTATTTTGAAGGATCAGAAGTTAACTGAATAAAAACTGCCAAGTAGGTATGAAATTCTAACAATTCAATATAATCATATATAATAATTAGTTCACAAAGTGATGAAGTATAAACATTTACATTTCATTTCAAAGAACTAAAAATASTGATTTATCCTAAGTCCCTATATGCCCCTTTCTTGGCTTATATTAGACAAATGTTTGCCATGAACTTTGCAGAACCTGCCACATTTGCTAATCAGACAGCAAAAATATGCCTCTTTTAAAAATAGGCACAACGTTCAAATCTTTGCAAAAGTAAATAGATGCAACTCTTAAGTTATACTCATTGACATCAGCAAAGAATTAGGGTGAGCGATCTATTTTAAAGACTGAACACTGATTGAAACCACTTCCAAGAACAAATACTTTYCATTAACACTTCTAGAGATGCAAATATTGTGTGTAGAGCTGTGGCTTTCAAACTTTCAGTACTCTTTCTTTTCCTTTAGAGCCTTTTCCTTTAGAGCCGACTATGGCATTCCTGTGGAAACTTTTAACTTCCAAATGTCCAAACYAGCATTCAAAAATCTAAATGAAATAAAATCTAGCCTTTTACATGGAAAAGGAGTTCTTCCGAAGTTTGCACCAAAGCTCTATGAAGGTTTGTCACCATTTCTCAAACTGARGTATACTATCTATTGTAAAAGAAATTAGAAAAATACATTTCTTGTATGAATTCATAACCTAATGCACCTGAAAATACAT